TACTTTAAATAAATGGGCCGACCCTCTTGCTCTGGTGCTTACCAAACATTGACCAAGCAAACATTAAGTTAGGTGACTCTCCTTGGTGATGAATGTTATAACCATCTACTGAGAAATTCAAGAAGCTATAAGTATCCCAACTTCACTAAAATTTTTAACCATTGGTGGTGTCATTTTTTTTGTTAAGACAGAGTCCCACTCTGTCACCCAGGCTGGAGTGCCGTGCGGCTATCTCAGCTCCCTGAATCCTCTGCCTCCCAGGTTCAAGCCATTCTCCCACCTCAGCCTCCTGGGTGGCTGGGATTACAGGCACATGCCACGACACCTGGCTAATTTTTGTATTTTTAGTAGACACAGAGTTTCGTCATGTTAGCTAGGCTGGTCTCAAACTTCTGATCTCAGGTGAGCCACACTTCTTGGCCTCTCAAAGTGCTGGGATTACAGGCATAAGCCACTGTGCCCAGCTGGCTTATGTTCTTTTTCTAAACATCATTTGTTCATTTAGAAAAGTGTCTTTATTTTAATAAATCGAGCATGGACTATTTAAATTACTTTTTTACCTGATATTTTTTGGTATTTGATCTTGCTCAATGTGTGTGGACATCAGTTATGGGTTAGGAATGCTACTCAGGAACATCTACTGTGTTTGTGATAATGTATTTGACTTGTGGCCAAATGGTACTCTTGAGAGATGTGGTTGTGACTTTGACAGATTGAGCCAAAGTTAAATTCTGATGAAGTGCAAAGGAATTTTATCAGTCCCAGAATGATTGCCAGCTGTGTTGGGCAAACGAGTGATTTTCCAAAAATGTCCAGAGCAATCCACATATATTCTATCACTGCTACTTCCAATTTCTTCAAAGGCCTGCCAAAAGCTTCATTTTCCTACTTTCCGTTATTTCCAAAACCACAGCTTAAACCTGAAAACCAAATGGGAAAGTGTATTCCCACCTGTTACAAACCAGCAATAACAGAACACAGCGAACAGAAGAGAGTTTCGTCTTGCTGATGTCACAGGAGGCAGAAGGAGGCCTCGGCTTGTTTGGCTATTCAGTTTAGAAGATAAGTACACAATTTACTGTTGATACGTTGAGAAAATTCAAGAACAGAGAGAAATCTGACAGTCTGGCCATAAGAAGACATTTTTGCATTTATCTTCTTATAATCATATCTGAAGTCAGATAATTATGTTTGGAGAGAAATAGAACACTTGCTTTAAAAAGAAAAAAACCAATGTTCTATGCTGACTCCATCCCCAGCATCCTCGCAGCAGGTCTATTGTACCTTAAGCTGTGCTCATTGGCAGGCTCTAAGCCTCTGTCCCCCAGATCACCCATGGGAGGGATCCAGTAACTTTCACTCAGCAGCTCTTGCACTGCTCCCAGGAGGAAGGAAGCAGTTTCTTTTAAACAGACTGCAACACATCCCAAAGGAAAGCCAGTTATCTTAGTGTCCATATGTCCACAAGAGGAAAATGTGTGTCTAGCATTTTAATCCCAGTGAGTGATAATTAGTCACTAGGCTTTAAGAAGTTTGACACTGTTATTCCTCTCCCCCTTTTCTCAATTGCAAGGGTAATAACTGCATTTGCACAGAAATCATGCTAACTGGCTAGCTACTTCATTAAATTACCATATGATTCTTATTTTATGGGTACAAAATAGTTGATCTTAGTGAACCAGCAACTGGGAAACTTAGGAGGCAAATTAGAGCAATTACTAATAAATTATACATATGGTAACTAACAATTTGTCTGTCACCTAGAAATATGAGAAAAAACTGCCAGACTCCCTGGCTTTGCAATTCTGAACAAGTCTTTTCATTTTTTTCTTCTCCAAGACCAAAAGCTTTCATTATCCACGAGTTACACCACTACTCTTTCTGCTTTCACAGAGTCCAACATTTATAATACAAAGTTAGGAGTACGAGTGGGATTCCTGCTCTGTTTGGAACAGAGTGTTTGAGTGCTTAAAAAGAACTGAAAAAAAAAAATCCCCAGAACCTCAAATCACCCCCTAAAAACCAAGAAGTGAGTTTCACTTTAGCTTTCCCTATGTACATTCATGAAAGAGATAATGGCAAGAAGTAGGGGCAAAGTATCTGTTCATTCATAATCACTACTGTGCTTCATTTCTGGGCGAGGCAGTCTGATGAAATTAAAGGAAGTTGTGTTACAAGTCATGTGCAGTTATAGGGGAGGAGGTGAGATGAGGTCAATTAATAAGATATGATCTTTCTCTTCTCTTCCTGCTTGTCTCAGCCAGGCCTCGGGTGTGCCATTCAACATGAAAGGTGTTGATGCCATTCATTAATTGAGGGCCGGATTCCCCCATCAGCATATTCCTCCCACCTGAGACTGCTTTACCTCCATCCACTTCCATCCCTAGCAGGTTTCATTTTCTGCAGCTGCTGTCAAGAGCTACTGGAGGAAGAGAGAGGTTTTAACAACTGCATGCTCAAATTTATTCTCACTGGCCTCCTGTTTGAAGGAAGTCCAGTATCTAGACCCTGGAGGTTGAAACAGGATGTAAAAAAACATCAAAAAAAAAAAAAAAAAAACCTCTGCATATTTGAGAGAGTTGTAATACCCATCCCAAATATATTCCAGCAATGGAGAAAAATTTGATTTCTATAAAATTTATGTACCACATTTCTCCCCATACCCAACAAAAAGTATGTGCTAATGTCTCTATATCACATGATATTATATCAGTTTAAAATATTGTTTTTCTTTGCCTTTGTTCATAGTCTCATTTTCACTTTTACTTATAATTTTAACATTTTTCCCCAGGCTCTTTATTCAGTTATTTTTGCTGTGTGCCTGAATATAGGACATAATTCCATGTCACCAATATCTCCCTTGAGAAGCACTGATGTTAAGTAGAATAAAATGTAATCAACACTCATTGTTTTCTACTAGAGAAACAGCAGGGTTTAAAACAAAACCAACCTTGCTACTAATTCCAAACACCCTTCTAAATAACTCCGGGTGCCATTTCACAACTTGACCTGCATAGTTCCTTTGGGCTGCCGTGGGAGTTGTGACTATTCTGTGTCCACTTGATTGCATGCTGAGTCACATTAACCCAGTAAACACATTCTATAGCAGCCTGTAGTTTGTGGAGGTCTGAGCACAACGCATGGAATTTCACCTCTATTCTCTGGGGCTTCCACCAGATGGAGCAATCCAGAATTAGAGTTTCCACCTGTATGGGGAGGCGCCTGCAAACCTGGCAGCTCCGAGGTCACAGTGCTCTTGATTCAGGCCACATCTGAGCTCACCCAGCTAGATGCTAAACAGACAATTGCAGAAGTGCAGAAGGTGGCAGAGAGCATTTGGGGGCAACGATCCTCAACCCTCACATTCCTTTTGCCTAAATTGCATTGTAATGACCATCTAGTTCAGTAGTGTTAGGAAAAAAAAAATGTGGATTACTGCTTCTGTGCAGTTATAAAGCAGTAAGTTATCTGTATTAGTAAGAACATATATACATTTCTGTAGTTCATCACCATCCAAATTGCCTAAGGTGATGGCTGTAAAGAACATTATTTTCAGGCATTAAATACAAGTTAGAGACTGAAGGATCTGTAAGAGGAGTAAATACTTTATATCCAGAATATTAAGCAGAATCTATTTTTTTAAAGTGAGGTGCCCAGAATGAAGAAAAAAATGGATGGGGACCCTTCCTTCCCTCAAGCAGGAGATTGCTGGGAATGGTGGTCCAGGCCCCTGGCCCCCATCCTTTCCTGTCAAGGCTACACTACGTGAGGCTAAAAAAGTCCTGGAGAAAACCACTGCAGGAGGGAGAAGCCTTCCCAGTGTGTTCTACTTCTGAATTCTGTTACTGGACCAAAAGAGTGCTCTGCTCTCCTCCTCCATATTTTTTCATTGTTGCTCTCTGGGTAATCAGTGGCAGAGAGAAAAATAAGTAACGTTTCCTGATACTCTTGCCCTTGTATTTTGTTCAAAACTCTCTGTTACTAAGGAAATGATTAGGAACCTCAACTGGAGGTTCTGAAATCAAAATCATTGTACTGATCAAAGGTAGGGTCTTTCTAGCACTGTTTGTCAGATGAACTCATTTAAAAGTGGATTTCAGGTAGTCTTGACTAAGATTTCAGATCACCACATACAAATTACAGAGACTGTAGTTACTCAGACAATAAGAAAGTATGTCTCTTTTTGTAACCTAAACTCCACTTCTTAAGTTTTTTGCATGTTCAGTCATGCTTTGAGCATTACTTTATTCCAACAAATTAAATTTATCTGTGACTTAACAGTCTTAATGAAAAGCTATGTAAATTACATGTGACAGCTGAAGTAATCTGGCTACCATTCATTCTTCAATCTATTTTTAAAGTGGGATATAATATTCTAACAATAAAATTTTACTATTACATTTTCATGTGTTCACATATATAGTGAAAAAAATTTTTTTAAGTTTTATTTTCTTTTTAATTGACACAAAATTATACATATTTATAGGGTAAAATAGAATGTTTTGATACATGTATACACTGTACAATGATCAAATTAAGGTAATTAACAAATCCATCACCTCAAACATTAATCATTTCTTTGTAGTAAAAACATTCAATATACTCTCTTCTACCTATCAAATTATTTTGTAATTTGTGTAATAATTCTGGTAAAACAGCATAAGCTGGGGTTATATTTCCTCATCAGTCACATTCTGCTAATGCCAGATGCCCTGGGAAGCTCTTCATTGCCATCCTGGAGGGATGTAGAATGTGGTGATGAGGAAGCCATTCTCTCAGGTACAGCAAAGGCACAGTCTGTTAGCAACCCACATGAAGGGCAGTAGACTTCTAAATAGTGGGCTGAGGTTCATGTGGGTGAAGCTAAAACCCAGAACACTTTTACTGGCTAAAAATCATGATGATTCAAAACTCAAACCTTCACATGGATGCACCCAAAGTGAATCAACAAAATTTAAAGTCCTTTAAATAGATCAATCTTCTCTAACTAGAAAACGTACCTCATTTCTTCCCTTTGCCGTGTCATATTCCCAGTACGCCTGTGTCAATGCCTCTTTGGGTTTCTGTCACTCCCTTTGCAGCTGTTCTTTTGTTCCTGTCTCTCTTTTGTGGCTCCCCAGGGTGATGTGCAAAAAAAACAAACAAACAAAAAAAAAAACCTCCTTCAACCAGGTTTCCACTGTCTTTTTTTCCTCCTTAAGATAATGTTCTCCTGCTATCACCCAGGGAATGACATAGAGGGATATTTCTCCTTCTATATTCATGGGGCTGAGGCACATGTTCATTCTTTTGTTAATCTTTTCTTTTCCCCGGTTAAGATACATTTTTGTTATGTCCTCTACAGGACAAGTCTGGGTGTCCATACTATGGTGTGGAGGAAGGACCTTGAGGATAAAATCATCCACAGCCCAGTGGAGTTTGCATGACTCAATCAATTTCATTCTGCAATTTTGCCAGCACTGAACCTGGGAATCATTCTGTTTTCTTGTTAGCTTACTCTGGCTTCAAATCTAGGTCCAAGTCAAGCTGTCTTTCAGCTCTTCTGCTACTTGATCTCCAGGTTCATTGCTTCTGCTTTGGGCTACCTCTGCATTCTTGCAGAGCCATGTTATCCTCTGCTGGGTACTCAGCCCCTCTGTGATTTCCACAAGGCTGAGCCTCTTGGTATTTCCTTCCTATCTATCTAGAGGAAGCAAATACCTCTTCACATCCTTGACCCACCCTGGGGCCACCTCAAACCTGGGGTGGCTGATTAGCTGTCTCCCCACCCAGCTGAGGTTACCATGACTTCCTCCTATCTCCTGTCCCTGAGGTCAGGAACTGAAATGACCCAGTCTCCTTCAGGAGCCCACTCTGATATCTACAGTTGCACATATGGCCCCTGGCTCTCTCCCCTTCTGGGAATCCTTGCCCTGATCCTGGCAGCAGGGAGAGCCCCACTGGGTCCTCCACCTGCTCACCTGGCAGGCAGCCTACGCATCCTGCCTGGGAATGCCCCCACAGTGGTGCTTTCCTCATCTGGTTTACATCACTGATCCTGGGTTTGCTTCTTGGTCTCATCCTGCAAGACAATTCTTAGGAGCTCTGAAGAGAAAGGAAGGTCTATGTATATGAGAGGTGACACCTGCTCTGAAGACCCTGCTATCTGGCCACATTTGGAGGCAAGGGTTTTATCAGTTTTGGCCAGAATGCTCTCCACCCAACATAATCAGCACGTACATGACTGAAGGCAGAGCTCTGCTCTAGGGCAACATGTTTTGGGTCCGAGGCAAATCGCAGATACAGAGGTGCTGTGAGAATCACATGAAGACACTGCTGAGGTTACTGTTGGCCTGTACAATGTCCTTTTTCCCTTTATATAAGGATCCCAAGGCATAGCTTCATTTAGTAGTGGCTTATATAATTCCCCTCTTGATTCCCCTCTTTGCCTTGGCTGCTGGAAAGCTTAGCACCAAACCTGAAGGTCACCTAGGGCACAGAATAAACATGAATGAATTTTTATAATAAACTTAATCACTGGTCCATTGTATATTCTCCATTTTTTCACTTCTTCCCTAACCCCATCCCCTCTAGTGTGCTAACCACCTTAAGCCCTTCCTAAATCAAGGCATGAAATGAATCAACAAACATAAAATAAGGTAAACAAACAGAAAAACGAGGTTTTGTGGAAAACTGAAACAGAATCTCTTTCACATAGTTGCTAGGAAGATAAATTTCTAGAGAGCAATAACTACTAACTGTTACAAGGCATATACTCATGACACAGAAATATCAATTCCAGAAATTTATCCTACAGTCATACTCATATAAGTATGCAATATATGTTTGATTGCAGCATTGTTTGTAACAGAACAGAGAAAAAGAAATAAGGTAATTGTCCAGGAATGACTAAACATAGCACGTTGCATGTATACAAGGCAACACTATTCAGCCATTCAGAAATGAGAGATTAATATACATGTCTTAACATCAAGGATGCCTTCAATGTATTCAGTAAAGAACAAAGACATTTGTGATTAGGGGTACAAACAAAAATCATCATTGTTAGCACAGAGGCTTTCTCATAATTCAAGGCAGTATTAAATAACTAACAGATATGAGAAAGTGAAATTAGAGAAGTTGAGGGAACTACATTCTCTGAATTAGCATAAGTACAGTGCAAGAGTGTGGGGAGGGCAGGTGGAGCCAATGAAAGATGAGGGGCTGGCCCCCAAGAGAAAGGCTTTGGCAGTTGAGGATTGTATAATGGGAATCTTGTGATGTTTTATCTTCACGTGGTGAGTTTTCTTTTCACTTTGCCCCTAAAACCCTCAGTAAAACCTATTTTATTTTCCAATACTTTTGCAGCTGGATTTGTTTTGGAGGGAACTGATCAAGTGCTACACCTGACCTAAAGGCCAGAAAGGGCCAAAGACAGAGACTACCCATAATGACCAGCCCAACTCGGGTCACCAACAGATCATGCAGAATCAGTTCTGGACATACTAGGAATGAAATGTTGAAGAGTAGGAAAAGGGGCGTCGGGGTGGGGGGAGTACAAAAAGCCAAACCAACCCTATGTGAAAGGATGTAACATTTACTGGCTTAGTAAATGTTAAGGTTTCTTTTCAAACCTAGATGACAGATAGAGATTTAGGAAAAAGGAGAAAGGATCACAGGAGAGAAGATAATGTGTCAGAGTGGCCACTGTCAAGCACGTGACAGACACATGAAGTACTCCTTCTGACTACTTTAGTTGTTTTAGGGATATCTACATTATCTGAGAGAAGAAAAAAAATTGTTTTCTTTGTTCAACATTCCCCTTACTGCCCACTTGCCCTCTCTGCAACTCAGCTTTTTGCCTTCACACAGAACTGCCCTGACCGTTTCTATGGGACTCTCTCCTTCTTCTGTAACTGATCACCTCTTTGGAGCCACTGTTTCTATGTCTTGTGTGACCAGCCCAGTGAGGAACTAAATGGAGCAGCCCCATGGATGGGCTTCTGGGGCTCTCCCTGGAATGTTATGCAAACTATTGTGTGCATACATTTTGAACTATCAATGAGAAGAATCCCATTCCAGATGTCAAGAACCTCGGATTTAGAAGCCCGACATGGAACTCCTCTAAGAAAAATTCTATTATCTTATTATTGAAAACTTTCGTTACCTCTGTCCTATTTAGATATATATATATACATGTTTATTTCTCAAGGTAGGTATTGCACATGAACTTTCCTTAATTTAACATGATGTTGTAATATCCTGTGGCTTTATCAGCCCTATTTACATTTCAGCAGTACATTCTGAGAGGCTTTTCTTTAGGTCACTGACTCTATTTGTTAGCCCAAAATATACGTCCTCAACCAGACTGAGGCTGTTTAGGACATGAGCCACATGTTCTGTGTTTTTGTATTTCCAAGGCCTAGCACAAAGCTTGGCAAACAGCTGGTACTTAATAAATAATAAGAGCTCAAAATAACTGGATATTCAGAGTATGTCACACACTGAGGTGTTTGTGATTTCATTCCTTATTTGATAGGTGAGGAAAATGAAGTCCTAAATGCAGATCCAATATGGGAAGACTCTAAACCCTTGATGTCAACCACTCTATAAATCTTGTTAAAGGAATGAATGCTGAATGATGGCTAACACTTTCCATTATGTAGGTCAAGACACTAAGTATCAGCATGGGGGCAGAGGAGCTGCATCAGGAACTCAGGTCACCTGTCTTCCATTTAAGTATGTTTTTCCTTAGACTTTTCTAATTTTGAAATGGTGTTTATTCCTTATTAGAAATGAAAGTGAAATCCTGTATACCAACTGAACTCATTTCACTTGTCTTTGATTCCAGAACTCTTGTGTATGATAATCTTGTTCATTAGTGGATCAAATTTCATATTGACACGGAGATGTCACCACAGACATCCATAAGGAAAGCAAAATCTTTCCTCTTCTGTGCACCTTCTCTTGTTGAGGATGCCAAACTCAAAAGCCTGCAGCAACCAGTAGATACCGGAAGTGACAACTGGGCCAGTTGTGAACTGGGGCAGCCAGGAGGGAGCCCTAATCCATTGTGAAGGGAACAGCCACTCCTTGGCCTTACTTCATCATTATCACTTGAGAATGTGGGCTTAAAATTCTTTGGAATTTTAAGAGAAGCCAGAAATACAGATTTTATGTAGAATCTCTTGAGTTTTAGATGTTGATAATTCATTCAAATATATATATATTTTTTGAGATGGAGTTTTGCTCTGTCACCAGGCTGGAGTGCAGTGGTGCCATCTTGGCTCACTGCAGTCTCTGCTTCCTGGGTTCAAGTGATTCCCCTGCCTCAGCCTCCCAAGTAGCTGGGACTACAGGTGTGCACCACCACACCCAGCTAATTTTTTATCTTTTAGTAGAGACGGGGTTTTACTATGCTGTCCAGGATGGTGTCAATCTCCTGACCTCGAGACCTGCCCTCCTTGGCCTCCCAAAGTGCTGGGATGTATTACAGGCTCGAGCCACCCCATCCAGCCTCAAATATTTTTTAAAACCTAGTATAGGCCAAATAAAACACATCTATGGTTTGGTGGGCCTGTGGGCCACCAGTTTGCAAACTTGGTTTCATCTGGAGGACATCCAAGACCATATTCTTCTACGGGAATGGAAGAGAGGTAAGATTAGTATTTTCAGTTTTTCTGTTTGTTAGTGTCTCTACAACAAAATTTAGTGAGGGAAGTGGTGAAAAGAGATGTTAAAATTGTTTTTAGACTATATGTGGATTTCAAATATTCCTTCCATGGCCCCAGACTGAAAGTCAAGAGCAGGTGGTAACAGTTGTATGTGGCTACCTCCCTTAAGCCACCAGTCAACTTTCGTGCTGCACAAAGAATCAGCGTGGTAAGCACTGACACACGACTTCAGCCTTCTTCAGACTGATTGTTAGTGTGCAGGACTCTGCTGAATTTGCAGAAAAATCCATAGCCTGCCTTTTGCCCTCTTACATTGCATATGCTTCTGATAGGCAACAAATTGGCCTCCAGCAACAAACAATGAATGACTACTTCCCAGGTGTCTCTGCATAGTCACTGTCCAGTGAGGAAGAAAAGCTTTTCAGAATAATGGACCTCTCCTAGTAGGGGAACATCTACTTCTGCTTTTACTCAAGCAAGCCTGTGCAAAACATTGACTAAGCTTGCATCCATTCAGGGATTAACTAATCCAGCACATGAGCATCTTGGGCTCTTGGCCTGCTTCTTGGACCACACATCCTCAGGGGCTGCGATGGAGGAAGCCACGAAAACCCTAAGTTAGCAAGATGAGACTTCTGAGACCTTTAAGAATTTGTTCCCACTCCAGATTTAAGTGTGTTTGGAGATAACTTTCCTTAAGACTTACATTCTTTAAAGACATTAACGAAATGGTTGTAGGATATTAATGTACTTTGCAAGGCTTTGGGAAATACTAAACACAGTGTTCTCTTCAAAGTGAAGGTGTTATATACACATTTAGTTTGAAGAGAGATTTATGCTTATGCATGCACAAAATTTCCCTCTCACTATACCAGCAAATTGAGAACTGTCCAACCTTTTTTTTTATACAACAAAGGAAAATATGACATCAAATACCTAAGCCAACAGTAACAGAGTACTGAAGTGGGATAATATCAAATATTATGTTTGGAGTGAAATTTAGTTCTTCATATGCTGCCAGGCATGCTCTTTTTAATTTTACCAGAAGAACACATTACTTGACTACTATGGTATTTAGAATCCCTATACTGGAATATTCCCAAAGTTTTTTTTTTTTGGGAAATATCTAGGGCTGTTTCCAAAACAGCACTTTCTAATTTTGTTAACACCTTCCTACCTTCCTTTCCTTTTAAGTTAACTTGATAGATTATGCCTTTCTTTCTAAGCTTCAGGTTACTCAGACTTTTCAATACCCAGTTCCAATATGTTATCAAGACAACCTAAAGATCATGAAACCTGGTTCTGATGTCCAAACATGTGCATCTGTGCTTCATTCAAATCTAATTCACTGATTGCTATGCTAGAGTAACTCACTCTCTCTCTCTCTCCTGCCTCCCCAGCTTCTCTTACCCGCCTGCCTGCCTCATGTTGCATCCTCAGTGACAGCCCCTGGCCTTGTCACACAGCACAGCAGTTCATATCTTCCTCTGCTCCCACCTTCACTTCACCATGTCTGAACCTTTGAGCCCTAAAATGGATGGACGGCAGCATATAAATCCGTCTTGAGGGCAGGGATGGGGAAAGAACAGCAAGGGAGCTGGTGGTTCTGTATAGATCCACAGGATGAGTGACAGTGAGGGAGGCTGTCCCAGCACTGCCAGAGAGGAAGGCTGTCCCAGCACTGCCAGAGAGGAAGCTGACCTGCTTTGCAGCTCTTCCCTAAGCAGCCTGGGCCCCATCTGCAGCAAGTCTGACTCAATTATTTTCAGAGTCCCCCAGATGACCTAATGTGCAGTCCCAGGATCTACTAGATGG